TACCTCCGTAAGTCTTTCCTTCATCTCAAGTCCGTGCATCTCGTGTGCGTTGTCCTGAACCAGAAGTTTTTTGATATGTGCTCGGTCGACTTTTGCTGTCTCGAGGATTTGGAAATACACTCTTGCAGTGGCCTTGAAGAGTTCCAGCTCTCGAGCTGCTCGATTAAACGATTGTGTTTTGGGGTGGACGGCCCCACCAAGGCAGTTCTTGACCTCCCGAATATACTTTGTCTCCAGTTGAATTGCGAATTTTTCCCGTTAATCACTTTGTCAACAGATTCCAGCGAGTGGAGATCAGAGATTCACATGAAGCATTCTCTTATTCCCAGTAACAATAATGAAGCTGCATCGATGTTTGATAAGTTACATGAACTGCACAGGGCATTGGGAGATTCTCGAATTTCTATGCACATGAGAGATTTTACTCAGGATTTAGCATTCATTCACGAGGGTCTTGGAGAACTTCCTGTGATCGAGAGCTTGACTGTAGAGAAATATTTTACTTTATTTCACCTAAAGGCCTTTTTCAATTATTTTTTTGGTAATTTCCGGCCAAGATATGTAGAACAGTCTGTGTATGCCGTTTTAGAGACTCAAGTGTATGAAGAAGAACCGGACCCCACTGATGAATTAATGGCTCAAGTGTATGGACCTCCGCTTACAGTTTCGGTGACTAAAAAGTATGGAGGAGTCAATGGACTCGTTGATCTTTTGTGTGATATGTTTTTGATGGAGAATGAAAGGGAGAATTACTATTGGCGGCAGGATTTAGAGGAAGTAAGCGTGGAGGCCCGTGACGAGGATGGAAAGAAATGGCGTCCTTTGCAAGGAGTGAATATATCTGAATGGGGGTTGCCGAACAATGTGGATCATCAGATTCGCTTTCGACTAAAATGGAGAGGGTCAAGTCTTTCTTGACTGATTAAATTACTAAGTACTTGAGATGCTTCTTTATAGTTTAATTAGTTTGAGTAACTTGTGGTTTTGATAGTTCATTCGTGGTTTTTTTTCTATCATCTGCCTTATGGGGACAAGAAATTAAAGCTTCCGATTTGGTTGTTGGTTTTGAAGCTGCTATTAGTAACTTGCTCGTCGTTTTCGTTTGTTCATGAATTGTTTACATATAACTTAGCTCTCATTTTTCTTTCTTTTTTCTTTTCATTTTTATTATTACTTTGATACTTGTTGATTCGTCCGCTGGCCATAGAACATTTTTATCATCACAAATCGTGTTCCATGAGAAAACTATATATGAGCTCATTTTTTCTTTTGATTGGCTGAGCAAGCTTGTGCCTTGCATATCTATTGCATGGGAGGTGGCATTCTACGCAGCAGCCCTCCAAAATGTGGCCAACTGAATGTAGTGTTAATTTTTTGTATCTCAATAATCAATCCCAAGTGATTATTATTAATTTTTTTTATATAATTTAGGAATAACAATTGCTTTGTGATATAATGGTAGAATTTTATCCTCAGACCTAGCCCATACAGTTAGGGTCGGTTTGGTTGGCCATATAGGACTTCATATCCTAGAAATTGATATTATATCCATAAGTTTAACTTGTAACACCCCGACTTATCAGAGTAAAATTTTTTCGCAACTTATTTAAAAAATACTTACAATTTTT